CCGTGTACGTCTCCGCCGTCGAGCCGAGATAGATGTCGACGTCCGTCAGCCGCTCCGCGCAGCAGTCGTTGCGGTTCTGCAGCCGCACGTAGCGCACATACACCTCGCTCCCGAGGTCGACGCCCCACGTGTGGCTTGTGTATTGGCCGCACTCGGCCCACGGCCGTCCCGTTGTGCTGTCGGCATATGACAGGTCGCTCACGGGCGCCTGCTTGTTGTAGACGCTCGAGTCCTGGTACGTGGTGGCCGTGCGAAGGTCGAGCAGCTGCGCTGCTGGTGGCGGCGACGGAGGCGCGGGCGGTAGCGGCGGCGAGGGCGGCGGCGGTGACGGTGATGCGCTCGGCGGCGGTGACGGCGGCACGGACGGGGGCGGCGGCGAGGGCGACACGGACGGCGGCGGCGGAGAGGGCGACGCAGACGGCGGCGGCGGAGAGGGGGACGCAGACGGCGGCGGCGGGGAGGGCGAGGCCGACGGTGGAGGCGGTGGCGACAGCGGTGGGGGGCCGGGTGGAGAGGGCGGAAGCGATTCGCAGAGCGGCTGGCCTCGGAAGCCGTATTCCTCGGCACACGATCCGCCCACGACGTCCTCGTTTTGGCATACGTCAGTGGCCCGCACGCAAGTCGGGATGTCCCACGAGGGCGCAGATGCGCACGACGTGCCATCGGGGCCGATATCGCTGTCGGGCGCCATCACTAGCCCGGCACTGCTGGCCTTTGCTCGCTGCAGCCGATCGATCAGCTGGTTCAGTAGCTCGACGTCTGAGCCGGAAAGGTCTGTGGACTCCTCCGGATCGGCCTCGATGTCAAAAAGGAGCCGTCCGCATGAGTCTACAGTGTACTTGCCGTTTTGCTTTCGGCACGTGGCCTCATTCGACGGATAAGAAGCACTGCTTGCAACCTCGATCTGGCTGGCAAAGTACAGCTCTGTGCTGGCGCCCCGAACCGGCCACGCGTGCCCCCGAAGTTTAGTTGCCAAGTTGGGCCCATTCATCGACTCTGGCCCGTACGGCACTGCCTCAAGCAGCTTGTACGTCCCGTTGAGGAGAAAGGCTGAGCCGGAACCACTGACAAACAGCAGCTCGGGACGCGCGGTGCGGTTCTCCAAGATGTCGCCAAGGTAGTTGACCCCGTTGTTGATGTGGTCGTCCTCGGCGCCACCTGCGGTTGTCCAGCCGCCGAGCTCCGCAAAGGTCGCGTGCCAATCGAAAATCGATACGAACCCCGCCGAGTACGTGTGTCCAATCATCCTGCTCGACAGGAGTGGCGGATAGGTCCCCCAGATCATGCTCTGCACCCGCACGCCCCCCTCGAAGATCTCGTTCTTGTTCCCTCGGAGAGGATAGTTGTTTCCTGGCGAGTTGAAGTTCCAAGCAGAGCCTCCGTTGTCGCTCGAGACGATGCCGAGCCAGTCGTCGGACGAGAGGGTGTCCATGTACGACGTCAGCTCGCTGATGGCGAGGTTGATGGTCGCCGAGGCGGCGCACCCATTCCTGCGCTGCGGGTTCGCGACGTGCGTGCAATTGGCGTAGAAACGGCTCGGATGAGAGTCGTCGTCGCCGGAATCGCGGATGGCGTTCGTCGCAAAGTACAGAAAGAGTGGCACGCCGGCGGTCTTCCCGGCGCTCCCGTACCTGGCAACGTGGTCGTTCAGGAAGCGGAACGCCTCCTCCTGCAGCTCGGTCGGCGAGTAGTAGTCCTCGGCGTCCGCGTAGTGCCGCCGCATAAAGGGGTCCTGAGTGAAACCACGGACACCTCAGGGAGAGAGACTGGGGAGAGAGGCGTGATCGTCGTGATTTCTCTTGAGACTGGTAGTGGCCCGGCACGCGCCATCTCGCGCCCGGCAGGGCCCGGCACGCGCCCAGCATCTAAGATCGGACCAGAGCAGAGGAGGCGCTGTTTTCAAAGGCGGTGTTTTCCATGTAGTACACGTTGTATTTGTTCGTCTTATGGCCGCAAACCGAGTCGTACGCGAGCGGGTTCTCGAGCAGCCTATTAATCAATGATGTCACTCATAGCGATGAACAGCAGTGTGTGAGATCCGTCCGGCTCGTGTGCCCGAAGAAGCGGTTGAAGCCGCGCGAGGTTGGCAGGTGAGCCGCTTGCACGCCGCAATGCCACTTGCCGACCATGTAGCTCAGGTAGCCAGTGGAGCTGAGCTTTTGCATCAGCGTCACCTAGTATCAAACCAGCAATGGCCTGCTGTGCTGCCGCTGCTGCTACGCCTGTGCTGCCAGCGCTAGTGTACACACCTCCTGCGAGCGCGAAAAAACCTTGGGCTGCACGAGGTGACTCGGCCGGCCGGCGATGAAGGACGCCCGGCTGGGCGCGCAAACCATATCCGCGTACGTCCGGTCGACCAGGATGCCTCGCTGCCGCCACAGGGCGTTCGCGTCGCTGTAAACGCCGGCGTAGTCGGTGGAGGTGAGAAAGTCGTTGTAGCCGGTGTCGTCCTGCAAGAAGAAGAGCAGGTTGAGCAGCGGCGGAGAGCTCGGTGCGCCCGGCGGCGGCGGCGACAGGGCCGAGCCGGGCAGCGGCGTCGCCAGCAGCGAGCGGATGGCGAAAATGATCATCTGCGTTTGGTCACGCTCGTTTGGTCACGGGGTGCGTGTCGGCACGGTGCGTGGCAGGCGCGAGAAGCGAAAACACCACTGTGGAGCGAGCCGATATTCGAGCGTCGTGTCAGCCGTGAGGCAAGGCAACCTGCTGACCGTCAAACCGGGAGCTCAAAAAAATTATTTCTCGGGGTCGATATCCTTTGGCCGCGTTGGGTAGCGAGGATTGGTATAACCCGAGCCACGGAGGCGTGTTTTTTTACGGCCGACCGTCAGTGCACGGAGTTGCCCCTTCTCCGACTGCCCCGGCTAGTTCCCCAGGTCGTCGGGAGTGACCCCTTCGCCGCCCGAGACCTAGCGCGGGTGGGTTGGAGGGGGGCTCGCTGCAGGGAAGGGCTGTGTAAGAAGCCGATCCCCGTAGTCCGCCCCGCTCCTCCCCATCGGGCCGCGTGAGCGGCTGCCACGCCTCGCAGATTCGTTTTCGCGCCTGGGTCAGGCGCGCGGGGCATCCCCCCGGGTCGCTCGACCAGCGATCCAAAGACATGGGCTCTATGGCTCAGACTGGACTCCTCTTGGTCCCTTCTGATGCCCTAGGCCACACCTGGGCCTTACCTGGAGCTCTAGGGGGCGGGCTGGGTTTGCCCCCCCCAACTGGCCCGAGGGACCTTAATTACTTAAGAGTGCTTGCACTTGGTGTGAATGCCGTGGGGCCCCTGCCCGCGTGAGGCGTGTCCGGGTGTGGAGATGCGAGGGTCGCCCACCCTTGCCCCACCACTTTGTGTGTGTGGAGAAATTTACCTTATCTACCTGTTGAGTGCCCTCTCTGGCCGCAGCTTGTGGACGGACTCTAAAGATATAAGGGCCTCGCGTCGTCCGCCGTTTATCCCGGTGACCCCCAGAACTCGCGGACCCGAGGAGTCTCGAGCTTCAGCTGGCGATCCATCATGCCGCTCTCGGCACCGCAGCAGCGCGAGCGCCGCGCCGCGCAGCGCGCTGCCGAGGCTCAGGACGCGGCTCGCGGGCAGCGCAACCGCCCGGCGCCGAGCCGGTGCTAGGCCGCCTCCGCTGCGCCTGCTTCCTTGCGCGCCGCTGGACGTCGGCCGAGAAGACCGCTTCCCTCTGGGGACCCGACTCCGCGAAGATCGCGCGCGCGTCGTGAGTGGCGGCGCGCGCGCGATCTCCGTTCCCGGGCACGCCGGTCGCAGTGGCATGGGCTCCCAGGCTCAAAAGCGCTCCCGTCAACAGCGAGCGAGCGCCGCCGCTGCTCCTCCTCCCGCCGCCGCTCACCGAGACTCGGTGCCGCCGTTCTCGCCGCCGCCGCCGCCGCCGCCGCCGCCGCCGCCGCCGCCTCGCGCCTCGCCTCCGTCACCGCCGCCCTCCATCTCGCAGCGGCGCGTCCCTCTGATGGCGCGGGCGCCTCGCTCACCGGCGCCTCGCCGCCGCCCCCCCCCCTTCTCGCGCCGCTCCGCTCGTGGCCGCCGCCTCCCCTGTCAATCCCGCCGCCTCCCCTGTCATCCCGCCGCCCGCACCACCGCCGCCACCGCCTCGCGCCTCGCCGCCGCCGCCACCGACCGCCCTCTCCCCTACGCCGCTCTGAGCGCGGTGCAGGGGGCGAGCCCCCGCGGCGCAGCCTCACCGCAGTGCACTGCGCTCTCCGCGCCCCTGACGATTAGTGAGGAGGTGGTGTTGCACAGCATGGAGCTCGGCGAGCGTTTAGCGAGCCCCTCAGCTAGTGAATCTAAATTGAATCGGAAGTCCCGGAATCATCAGCCGATTTGGTCGCTCCTTGGTCGCGAGCCAGCGCTCGATCGCCGTCCCCGCGGCTCTCGACGCGCTGCGAAAGTCGAGAGCCACACCGACGAACCTCTGCTGTGTACGAATACGCCGCCTCGTCTGCTCGACTGTCATTTCAGACAGATGGAAGCGTACGACGCCCGCGGCGTTGTACTTGCTAGGCTACCTGCAGTGTTGAAGAAAGCGTTCCCCGCAGATGTGAGACAGTACTGGTGGTCGCCGGGGCCTGACCAAGAGTTGCCCCATGGCATGTTCAGTGCGGTCGCAGCAGTCTGGCACTCTGCCTCCGTCGTAATATCGGAGTACCCTGCCTGGGCACAGTATTGACCAGCGGACGTGACAATGTAGGCGGGTGGTGGTGGAGGCGCAGGTGACGGCGGCGCGGGTGGAGGCGAGGGCGAGGTGGAGGGGGGCGGCGGCACGGGTGGAGACGGCGGAGGTGGTGGCGACGATACGCCCAGACAGATGGAAGCGTACGACGCCCGCGGCGTTGTACTTGCTAGGCTACCTGCAGTGTTGAAGAAAGCGTTCCCCGCAGATGTGAGACAGTACTGGTGGTCGCCGGGGCCTGAAAAAGCGTTGCCCCATGGCATGTTCAGTGCGGTCGCAGCAGTCTGGCACTCTGCCTCCGTCGTAATATCGGAGTACCCTGCCTGGGCACAGTATTGACCAGCGGACGTGACAATGTAGGCGGGGGGTGGTGGAGGCGCAGGTGACGGCGGCGCGGGTGGAGGCGAGGGCGAGGTGGAGGGGGGCGGCGGCACGGGTGGAGACGGCGGAGGTGGAGGTGGGGAAGTCAGGGGTGGCGACGATACGGCGCCTGCTGGCGGAGGGCAAGGAGCCTCGGAGAGACGGCGGCGCTGGGCCTCCGTGGCAGGGTCGGCGACGCGATTGATCGAAGAGGCATGCATCAGGTCGCTGCCATTTCCGCTTGTGGGCGAGGAAGGTCCTGGCTCGCCCTTCGCCGCCACTTCGTACAAGCGCCTCCTCTCAGTTTCCGAGCCGGAGACGCGCTCAATCGACGAGGCGTCAACCGCTCGTACAGTGGACGCCTCCTTTGCGGTCGCGGGTGAGGCCAAATACGTTGCGCCTGTGTCACCAAAGCGTGAGAACGTGAAGTCGGTCGCGAACGGGCTCGCCACCTCGTAGTCCGACGCCGTGCCCTCGATGGCGCCCTCGGCCTGGGCGCTTGTGGTGTAGTAGCCCGCCCAAGGGTAAGCATCCTTCTTGCCGTGCCGTTCGAGCCCCGGTGTGGCATAAGACTGTCCGATGATGCCGTGCGGCCTGTCGTGGGATGGCGCGTCGCCACGCGCAGAGAAGCTAATGTCAAGGCGGTGCTCGGGTCCCGCAAGCAGGCAACCCCTGCATGAGCGCATGCCGTGCACCGCCACGGACCAGTTGCCGAGCTCAAAAGTGGCGCTCGAGTAGTCCATCGCCATATCGAGCTCGTAGCATTTCTTGCTGCCACGCCGACCAAACTTGAAGGGGTGGTTGGTGCAGGTGCCGCGGACAACCTCCCATCCAGTGTCCTGCTCGCCTAGCTCTTTGGAAAAGAAGGAGGCAGCTGCACGGCGGTTCCGCGGCAACCGCGCCGCTATGTGCGCCTCGGTGATGAATGTGCCGTTGACGGTCAGCGCACCGTCGTGAAGAGTGAAGATCGCCTCTTCCGTTTTGACGTTGACAGACATGGTTGGCGATGACAGAAAGTTGTAGAGCAAATTGTGTCTGCCGCGAAAGTCGGCACGGCCGCCGTGGGCAAAAGTGAGGTGGGGGTCGCGGACGACAGTGGCACTCGTGCTGCACGGCTGCGCCCGAGCCGCAGCGAGAAGGAGGCACCAGCGAAACAGCGACGCGACGACCTGCATGGCACGGCAGGGAGTAGGGTGCCGCGCCTCAACAACGAGATTGGGCCGGGGCAGTACGAGTATCTTTCGTGTAGTGAGGTAGTATCTTGAATTGCATTGTGGGAGGGATTTGGATTGGAATACCCAAATTCCAAATTTCGTTTGCACAATCTCGGCGCGGAGCCGAACGAGATCGCGACCTTTCGAGATGAAGATCGCGACGAAAAATGCTGACACCACATTGGCTGCCGGGGTGTGTGTTGCCGAGGGGGGGCTGGGTGGGTGGGTAGGTAGGCGGGCGGTCGGTAAGCCGGTACTTCGACAAACACGCCGTTCAGTCAGTCTTTTGGGGGGGGGGGGCGTTATTTTACTATCTTTTGGCGCCTTCGCCCACCACCACCCGAGGGGCCAGTCGGCGCGTCTTGTCTGTCGCGATGTCCTAGACGTCGAGCCTCTCTGGTCCTTTACAGACCTTCAGCCAGCCACCCTCCGGCTCTGAGCCTCCGCGCTCAAACGCGGTGTGCACAACACGCTCCAACGTGAAGCCACTCTCAGTATAGAGACAACATGAAGGGTGTCCGGTGATCGGCGCGGACGGCATCGTCGATTCGCGAACCCATCGCGCGCTCGAATTCTGTTGTAAATTCTCTCCAAAACTGACAAAACTGCATGGCGCGCGTTTCAGGGGGGGGGGGGGTACCGAGCAGTCAGTGAGAGTGTGCGGCTGCTCTAAATTCTCGTTTGCCCGTGTTTGCCCAGTGCAAACAACGCCGCTTTTAATAATAAATGTACACACATAGGAAGCGCTAGCCGCGCACGACGCCAGAAATAATATACACTACCATATACGGGTGTACCCTAGTCGGGCAGTTATTCACGAATATACACAGCCGTGAGCCAAGCACGACGGCGTCTTTGGTCGCTCTCACCCACGCAGCGCGTGCCTGGGCCCTGGCTCACGGTCCAAAGCAGACCAGCTCGTCCCAGTCCAGGACAGGATAGGGCTGCTGCAGCAGGAACTTGCGCGCAAGCCAGCCGGGCGGCGGCTGCATCGCGATCTCTCCCTCGCCGCACGCGCAAGAGCGGCGCAGCGTGCCGAGCACGCCACTGCACCACGCCCCGCCCCGCACCACGCAGCGGCGTCCTCCTCTCCCGTCCTCGGAGAGGTAGACAGTGCGGCCGGCCGCGTCGCGCCTCCACGCCTCATCTCCGTCGCCGGTCAGGTGGGTGTAGGTGAGCGAGAATGCCTCGCCCTTGGCGCGCGCCTGAGACAGAAACACGGCTGCGAAAAGGAAATCGGAGAGCGGGCGTTCGCCCTTGGCGCGCGCCTCGGCGAGGACTCGGCGCAGCTCGAGGGCGGGGAGGGTGTACCTCGGGGTGGGGTGGGGTGGGGTGGGGTGGGGGAGGGGGGCCTTGGGGAAGGGGGGGGAGGGGGTACCTTGGGGCGTGGACGGGGGGGGAGGGGGCGGCGGGGGGAGGGGGCGACCTTGCGGGGGGGGTCTTTTGCAGATCGGGCACGGGCGGGGCCTGACCGGGCC